CAGTGCAAGTGGACTTGTAATAGCAGTTTGTTTCAACAAAATATATGCTTGTCACCTTTAAGCATCAGCTCCCAATGAAGAGCATTTACACTCCAAAGTAATCAGACAATGCCATCTGCTGTTTTGGAAAGAATAAAATAATTGTCACCATTATGTAATTGCAACATTGCACATGTGGGGATGAAAGACAGATAGAATAAAAGAGTTAGAAGGCACCTTGTAGGTCATCTAGTTCAATCCTCAAGCAGGAGACCCTATACCAGTGGTGGCAACCTATGGTACGCGTGCCAAAGGGGGCACTCAGAGCCCTATCTGTGGGGACACTAGCCGCTAGACTCTCTCGCTCACCTTCCCACAAAACAAAGAAAACAAACTGTCAGTGCCAGACTCCTTGGCCAGGGTTACAAGGAAAACTCCCCACCTTCCTCCTTAAAAGTGGAACTTCTTCTTGAGGAATTTCACACGCTGCTCTCCTGCCTCCCTTTTATGCACTGCGGTCCTTTCCATTGCCTTGGTTTGGAGGAGGAAGCGGCACCCGAAGGATTCACACAGAAGGTCACCTCGAGGCTCCCTTTCGCTTTCAAGTCAATTCGGTGGTGGGGCTTTCCTGCAGAAACCGTCAGGAGCAATTTGGCTGGTGAATTGGGAAGAGCGTGACTGGGCTTTCCTCCTCCATGCCACTGCTCGCAGCCCTTGGGAGCAGCCGGGAAGCCCCTGAAAGCTTTGGGAGAAAGAAGGTGAATGCTCCATTTCCCTTTGGGTTTTTTTGGGGGGGGGAGGGGGGAGGGCAGTGAAATAACAACTCTTCTTCCCCCGCCATCTCTCCATGTGCCCGGCTTGGCTCCTGTGTTATTCAATAGGGTTGTGCGGAGGAGTCCCAGTTATTGGTTAGCTGAAATACCCTCCTGATCAGTAATTTGGTTTTTCCCCACCTGTTCATAAACCCGTCCTAAAAATTATCTGCAAAGCCTGAATTAAAACAGTTCATAGCTTGTCTCTAAAAGTCTAGGGTTCACTGCGTTCAATTACATACACCTCACCCAGAAGCCTTGACTCTCTTAACTTTCCCAAGTTCAAAAGCATGCCAAATGCAAACTTTTACCTTTCAATAAAAAGTTGTTTGTATCATTGAAAGCTCTGTTATTGTGTTTTTCTTTTAAGGCAAAAGATGTTGATGTATGAGTTGTTTTTTCTAAACTAAAACCTCAGTATTCAAGTTAAATTGCCATGTTGGCACTTTGCGATAAATAAGTGGGGGTTTGGTTGCAGTTTGGGCACTCGGTCTCTAAAAGCCATCTCCGCCCTACACCATTTCTGACAGCTGGCTGTCCAGTCTTGTGCTAAATATTTGACATTGCACATGGTGTTAAATAATCCACATGTCCAAGTCTATTCAAAAACATCAGTTAGGGGAGATGGTTGAATATTTTTCTGATTATTCACATGATATATAAGAAATAGCAAAACCTTTTTCTCTATCAGTGGGGACCTGCTGTGAAAAATGGCTTCCAAATTTAAGGAGTATATCACCCAAATGGGGGTGGAGAAAATCCAAAATCAAATGTAATCAATTCCTTCCCAGTATACCTAGAAATTAAGTGCATTATTTGTCCAGAACAGAAGTGCTCATTATACCACAAGCAGGATCAACAGACTAAAACAAATATAAACATGAAATGATTTTTACTTCTGGCTGAGATAACACAACTTTGTATACCTTTGTATTGTATTTATCTATTAATCACATTTATATGACCATCCATCTCATAAGAAATGATTCTGGGTAGCGTACAACAAACAACAAATATATAAAAATCATTATCAAAATATAAAAAGTTATATTAAAATGAAAACACTATCAAAATTGAAAATATACAAACACCTGGAAAGAGTAAAAAGTTTGGCCACAGTGGAGCTATCTAAGAATACCTCCAGTTCCCCGGGACCCCCAGGCCTGGTGACATAACCAGATCTTAAGGGACTTCCAGAATGATAACAAAGAATGGCACTAAACTGACTTTGGTGGAGAGAGAGAGGGAGAGAGAGGTGTTCCCATGTCATGAAGGGCTTTAAAGATTAAAGCAGCACCTTGAACTGGACCTGGAATCAAACTGCCAGCCAATGCAGCTTTGAGGAGTTGTGCGACAGCTCGTGTGCCCGGAAAGATGGCTCTGTGTGCCACCTTGGGCACATGTGCCATAGGTTCGACATCACGGACCTAGCTGATCAGTAAGTTCCCCAGAGTCAGTCAATCTCCCTGCTCTTTTCATACTGCAGCCAATCAGGTATATTAAATAAGAGAAAATTAATGTAATGTATCTGGAGTTCAGTTGCAATGCCCATAATGTATTGACAAATTAACTAAATTCATCAGTACAAATGGATAGTGATAATTGCCATCAAAAACAATTCCATTATCAGGAAAAATAAAATATTTCCAAATGTTAAAACTGTACTAAATACATTGCAACTGAAATGATATTCATATGAGTTTTCTATTCATGCCAAATTCCACCATATTCCATTATTTTTATTTATTTATTTATTTATTATTGCGATTTATATGCCGCCTTTCTCCCAAGGGACTCAAGGCGGTTTACAAAATGACAATTTCCAATACAAATCACAACAAGATAAAAATTAAAATCAACACCCCAATTAAAACAGTTTAAAATTATAACAGTGTACACCCAACGGATCAGTTGAGTTGACGGAAGAGCCACGTCTTCAGCTCGCGACAGAAGGAAAGGAGGTCAGGGGCTGTCCTGAGCTCGGTGGGCAATCCATTCCAGAGGGTCAGGTCTCCCACAGAGAACGCTCTCCTCCTGGAGGCCGTCAGCCGACATTGTTTGGCCGACGGCACCCTGAGGAGGCCCACTCTGTGAGAGCGCATGGGATGATGGGAGAGCGGCAGGAGATGGTCCTGCAAGTACCCCAGGCCTAAGCCATTTTCACATGATAAATTAAAATTTGAATCCACAGGAGATGGGTGAGACAGTATTTATTATTAATACAGATCTCCAACATATAGACATTTAGATTCTTAGAAGGCATTTAGTTGACCACAAGAATGTCCTGGACATGTGGCAATATTTCCAGTGGTATCCTAGTAGAGAAGATAAGCTAATTGAAGAACTGAACTTAATTATACAGTACATCAGCAGCTGCATCAACTATGAAAAATTCTATTTACATTTGTATTTTGTATTTTACAATATTTTATAACTCAATAAAATGTTAAACTGTAAAAAGTGCCAAGTGACATATTACAGGGTTCTATTCTAGCTCTGAACTCTTCAACATATTCATAAATGACTTGGGTCAAGGGTTACAAGTATGAACATCAACTTTGCAGAGACAGTGTGAGCATGTGAGGAATAGCTTGACAAGCTGAATACTAGAAATGAATTAACAAGATGAAATTCAACAAGGACACATACAAAATCGTGGATTTCAAAAACAAAAACATGGGATTGATAAGGAATATATATTGGGCATAAACTGGAGCATATTTAGAGAAGAGCAGGGAAGAGGATCAAGACCTGAAAAAAATCTTTATGAGTAATACTGGAAGCATTAGGAATGTTTAGCTTGGAGAACTGAGAATAGGATACTCCATTGGATATATGTGTAACTTGAGTCCAGTCATCTAAAAAGCTATCATGTAGAAAAATGGACAGATTTTTCACAATTGCTCCAGAATACAGGACAAGAAAAATAAATTGTTTAAATTACAGGGAACTATAGTTTGGTTGGACATCGGGGGGGTGGGTGGAAATCTTAAACATGGAACAAACTGTCTAGATTCTACTTGACTGAAGGTCTTTAAAGATAGATTGGTTAGCTAACACTGTATTAATGTATACTTGTATTGGGCAAAGTATATTAAGTATATTAAGAATTAAGTATATTCAAAGCCCTACATTTATGATAATAAAATAATAAACAGAACTCCTGAAGGCCCTAATATAACATCTTAAGTGTTCTGAATAAATAAGAACATTATCACAACGAAAAAGTTATGAGAATATTCTTCTATCATCAGAAACTATCTTCCTTTCCAACCCATCCAGAAAGTTCTTTCTAGCCTCAGAATATCAGAAAGATGGAAAAGGAAGCATCTGTGGCAGGGGTGAAATCCAGCACGTTCTAACAGGTCCTGGAGAACCAGTAGCAGAAATTTTGAGTAGTTTGGAGAACCAACAAATACCATCTCTGGCTGGCCCCAGAGTGAGGTGGGAATGGAGATTTTGCAATATCCTTCCCCCAGGAGTAGGGAGGAATGGGGATTTGCAGTATCCTTCCCCTGGAGTGGGGTGGGAATGGAGATTTTGCAATATCCTTCCCCTGCCATGCCCACCAAGCCACGCCCAAAGAACCGGTAGGGAAAAATTTTGGATTTCACCCCTGATCTGTGGGTTGCAAAATATCATGAATTCTCTGAAATCAAAAGCATCCTGAATCTCTAAGATGTCCTCCAGGACTGACTGCAACCTATTCTTATTTTGGTAAATCCTTCTCTTTTTCTACTTCCTCACTTCTGTTCTCAACCTGAACCCAGGAGAGTCTTGAGTTTCCAAAGGCTGAATCAAAATCTTCTGATCAGGTAGAGTTGATCTGACCAAATTGACAGTGAAAAGGGATGTATTACTATTTTGGTGCTATGAGACAGATAAGTCTGTTCAAATTGTACATTTATTCATAGATGAATAGCACACTGTCTATCAAATCTACAATGTTTGTAGCAATGTTTCTTGATTTTTTTCCCCATTTATTTCTTCTCTAAGTAGATACCTGAAAGCAGATGGGAAAAATAAGAAACTGAGAAGTAAAAGAATTAAAGAAACATGTCTATAGGGCAAATATAATGAGTAATGTAATGTAGATCATGTTACTTTCTGTAAACTAGGTTGTTACCACTTCCCTTTTCACTGTTGTGATTAAAAAAAAATCCCTTGGAAACATACAAAGAGGTCAAACAAGTTTTTTTATTGTTTCTTTCAGAAAGAAGACTAGAGAAGCCAAACAACAAAGCACTACAGTTACATTTCAGGTAAACTCAACCACATTAAAAGGTAGTGAAACTTACTGGAGGATTCAGGCATTCTTCAAAGAAAATTTCTTGTAATGTTTTTTTTTTCCTTTTTTTCAGAGAAGACAACTCTGAAATAGCTGTGCATTTGCTGTTTAAAGTGTAAGTAATGAACTAAAGGATAATCAAACTATCCTTTCTAGAAATTTTACCTTCTCCTATTATTTATAAAAATGTTAATTAGATGTGCATGTTTTTTCATGTTTAGTTTTAAAGTGCTTTTGAAAGACAGTGAAATTAAAATATTTTAAGGTGATGTGCAGTTCGATTTTATGAAGATTGTATTCTCTGTTGTTTGTATAAAACATATACAAATGATACACAAATGTTTTCCAAGGTATCAAACCCTTAAGTTTATAGAAGTGCAAGAAATCTATAGAAGGAAAAGTACCCTCCGGGATTTATGCAATAGAAGTTACTGTTTATGGGACTGTTTACGGGACTGTAAGCTGTTGGTTTACATTCAGTAAACTGAAACAATCCAAGCTACATCATTCACACAGAGTGAATAATATATATACCGTAGCTACAGTAACAACGGAATGCTGTTCCAAAGAAGGAGGACCTTGATTGAAAAGGTCTTCTAGATCTGGACAAACGGAAACAATTGGGAGAATGTAGTCCTGGAGACATCCAGATCCCCAACCATTTTTTTCTCAAATTTGCACAGTTTTTATTATCCATTTTCAAATAGACATAAAAAGGTACAATCACCAAAATAAGGGGAAAAAACATACAAATAAAAACACATTTCTTTAAAAAAAATATATAATTATAACTATATCAAGTTCATCTGATTTTTTAAAGTCTTTAAAAGGAAAAAATGGAATAGAATAGAATATTTTATTGGCCAAGTGTGATTGGACACACAAGGAATTTGTCTTGGTGCATATGCTCTCAGTGTACATAAAAGAAAAGATACGTTCATCAAGAATCATAAGGTACAACACTTAATGATAGTCGTAGGGTACAAATTATACCAGCAACAAAATTACAGTCATACAGTCATAAGTGGAAGAAGATGGGTGATGGGAACGATGAGAAGATTAATAATAGTGCAGACTTAGTAAATAGTTGAGGGAATTATTTGTTTAGCAGAGTGATGGCAATCGGGAAAAAACTGTTCTTGTGTCTAGTTGTTCTGATGTGCAGTACTCTATAGCGTCTTTTTGAGGGTAGGAGTTGAAACAGTTTATGTCCAGGATGCAAGGGGTAGGCAAATATTTTCACAGCTCTCTTTTTGACTCGTGCAGTATACTTTATTTTTATTTATTTTTATTTTATGTGATTTGTATGCCGCCCTATCTCCGTAGACTCAGGGTGGGTCCTCAATGGAAGGCAGGTTGGTAGCAGTTGTTTTTTCTGCAGTTCTAATTATCCTCTGAAATGAGCCTGGAACAGGTTTAGAAGGGACAACCAGCACTCAAAGCAAACTGGTTCCCAATCTAACTTTTGAAGTAGAGGTGTTACATCAGCATCCATGAAGCCTAATCACTATTCTGGAGCAGCTCCAGCTTTAGAAAGGATTTCAAGTGCAACCCATGTAGAGTGCATTGCAATAGTCCAAGTGAGAGGCAATCAAAGTATATGTGAGTAAGGGGAAGGTCTCCAACTCCAGAGAAGCTCATAATTATTCCTGCAGGTGAAATTTTACAAGGGCGTTTTTTGCTACAACTGCCAGCTGAGATTCACTTAAGAACCCCAAGTTTCTTGATATATAATTTTTATTAAATACATTTTATGAGTATAAAAACAATAAGCATTTTGAAAAAAATGTAAAGTTTAGAAGTAAATAAAAGTGCAAAAAAAGAAATAGTGAAGAAAAGAAAGAAAATAAAAAGTTATGAAGAAGCTGCTTCTGATTTTCTTAACAGCAGCTAAGTGCCCTTCACAAATATCCCTTTTCTTACTTTCCACAATCCCAAGGAGGCAGTGAGATGCTAGGCTCAGTATTTGGTTTGACAATCAAGGTGGGATTTAAATATTATTAGCAAATCGATAACATAAGCTTAGTAGGAACTATGTTTCAACAATAAAAATCCTACAGGAACAAACCCATATATATTTAACCCCAAAAATATTTATAATAACACATTTTAATTCTTAAAATATTTGCTGCACCTGTTGTTCATTCATTCTCTCTCTAAGGTTACAATATAATTTTCTTCTTTATATAGTCTATCCTTTCTATTCATCAAACCCATAAATCACAAGTTCATATTTTTCTTTTTTCAGCAAAAAGTCCATAAGGGGTTTCCAGTCACTAATAAATATGGTTATTGTCCTTTCTTTAATCAGACAAGTCAAACCTTCTTTGCTAATTCTGTCATCTTCACCAGTTTTTCTTCCATTGTGTATATTTCAGAGCCTTTCCATTTTTGTGCATATAATATTTTGCAGCAGGAATCCCAAGTGATAAACTAGTTTGTTACAGAAGGAATCATGCTTCATCTTATCCAGAATTAAAGATACCATAACAACAGTGGTAAAGAGTTCTTCATGAAAAATTATTAAGCATTCAAATGTTTTGAAAATAAATGATAAAACGTATAGTTTTAAAATAACTGATGTTGATTATACAATTGAAAACATTATTCTTTTTTCTGTCCTATAGATTTATGCTTCATGATCCAGAATGGAAAATATGGACAGTGGATCTTCTCTGGACATGGATGAAGTAATTAACATGAATGAACAGTGCCATGTATTTAAGGAGACTGAACTTTGGAAAGAAAATGTGGATTTAATAGAAAAGAACAGCTTGGGAAATACCGTGTCCTCTTCCTATGAAATATCAGCCCCAACCAACATAGGGATAAAATTGGGTCCTGATAGCCTCACTAGGAGGCGGGGCTTGCCTGGTAAGTTGCATCTATTGAATATGGAGCATGATGGGGCTGACAATCCCCCATATCTATTTGATAGGCATGCTCCAAGTAGGATTTCTACTTCTCCAACCTTGAGGAGGCTAAGAAAGAACACATCATCGGTTTCTCAAATAGCTCCACTCCATGACAGTGCTGAGAATATAAGAACAGACAAACAGATGCCACAAATCAACACTTTTCTTTCTATGCATCCAGAACTTCCTTCTCACCCTCAGCACTGTTCTCTCCCATCATCCTGTGGCATTTACTCAAATACAGTGGCCCAAGTACAACACTCTACGTCAGTTAATCCCAAAGCAAATCTAATAGATAACAAAGATGATTTCAGTGATACTCAAACAGTGCAGAACAGTAACGAGAACAACCCTTCTCCAGAATGTGAAGGAAACGATTCTCAGCAATATAGCCAGGTAAGTAATTTTTTAAAAAAAATTATCTTTTCTGAATTAGCGTACATTATAATTGTTCGACTGAGAGTCTCATATAATAAATCATGTCATTATTATTCTTAGATTTAAAAGGAATTTAGCACTGTTTGACAGCCTATTCCAGCCTGCCTCAACCTGATGTCCCATAAATATGTTGAAACGTGTCTTCTGTTTTCACTGGCTAGCATATTTTTTATAACTGAAGACTTGTAAAGGACACCGATTGGAACATCCTTATATAGTCATTTTCCAATTAACTTTGCATAGCTTAAATTAATTATTAAGCCTAAAATCATTAATTTAGGCTGAAGAGCTATCATTTAAATCAAATAATTTATATGACATGAAACAGTTAAGATGGTGCTAATTTTCAACCCTCATCATCAAATGCCATAGCCAATGTCAAGGAATGCTGGGAGTTGGCAGTAGAGTCTATAGGGCCATTTAGACTCTATTCACATATTAAGCGGTAGAAGGCTATTAATCATAATTAATTTGTTTTTAAATAAGAACTGTTTACCTAAATGGATTGTAAAAATAAACATTTCCAAGAACCTAGGAATTTAGAATGTCATATTCATTTTCTGACATAGTTGTTCAGAGCAGGAAGCACAAATCCAATCAAACGTTTGTCATGCAGTATGGTTTATTAAATGGCCTGAATTCCAAAGATGTCAAATGCCATCTAAACCTGAGTTAAAAATGGGGAAATTATAGGGGAGTTTTGATTCCATCATGAAACATCCATGAACTGAACAGTCCTATGATTATGGAAAAAATATTTTATAATAGCATTATCAGTTTCCTCAGCCTTGCTATTTATTAGTCAAAGATGAACAGAATTATTTTCTCCAATTGGTTGTAATGAAAGAGAAATTATTATGTTATCTGTGGTGTTGATGTATTCTGTAATGCAAGCTGTGGCCCTTAAATATATCCCTGGAAAACCTCGTTTCCTTTCTTGATGGTGGCAGGATTAATGTCCATCACACTTGGTATATATAAATGAATAGACTTTTTTTTTCTCTAGTTGTGAATATGCTATCACACAGGCACTATTTACTAGTGCAACTCAATACACTCAATGCACTCCAATTAAGAGTAAATTGGCAGTTTACATTGGAATATATTGTTGCTTGAGCACAACATAGAAAAGATGGCCAACCATTGTGCCTATGAGCCTCTTGAATCCAACTAGCTGGTTATGGAATGGTGGACTAAATATGTTCCTGGCCTGATTTTTAGGCCTTAAATGATCAACATTCCATTTTAGTTCTGAAATTCCATTTTTCATGTGAAACACAGCCATTAGTTAAAATAACTAACACTCAATGCCTTATTTTCTCAGGCCTTGGATTTACATAAATCTAGTAGGTATGTATATACTTAATCTTGCTATTTTAACATCAACATAATATTCTCATGTTATTTCATGTTGAGAAGTAAGAGTGATATGTTCACTGCATCTAACAAAATCATTTCTGTTTAAATATAGGTGGCCAGGTTTTAAATGTTCCACTACTGAGTTGTTTAAACTTGCTCTTTTAACAACAGGTACTTCGTGTTTGCATATTAGTTCAGACATGCCCAGCTATATTTGTCTTTTCATTTTGTACTGTTAGAAGTAGCTGCACAACTGCATGAAATTGTTAACAGTTGAAACATCCCAAAGCAAAAAAGACTACTATAATATATATTTCTCCAAGTTTTTTTTAACCCTTGAATTACCAAATTGAAAATACATCTACAATTCAGATGACCTTTTCTCAACCTAATGCCTTTTGGATGTATTGGATTTCAGGTCAAAACAGATGGTCAATATTGAGGAAGACTATTATAGCTATTCTGCACAAGGCATTATACGAAGTCCATGTTGCTACAGATGCATCAAACATAGATTGATTCCTAAAATGTAAGATAATGTTAATGAACATTAAGGCCATCAAAGATTAATCAACCATGTTCGCTTATTTTACCTGTTAATGATAGAAGAACAAGTAGATATTTCAAAGTAGATCAACAATTGTTCAGTTATTTGATGTTTGCAAGTATAACTGTCTTAAAAAATAAAATTACCAATTCTATTTACATTGCTAGGATCTATTCCTTGCTTTCAGAAGACCATAATCTTTCCTCTCTTCCCTCTTTTGTTACATCTGGATAATATTGTTCAATTTTATAGCTTTTTTTAATAAAAATATTACAACAGGCTCATCCCATTAGGAAGGATGAAGTTGTTGTCACAAGGATCAGATTGCTTATGGCAGCAAACTGTTCAGGTTTCCTTTTTCCTTTGTGAGTGTTCTATTCTATTCTAAATATTTGATGGATCTTTTATCCTGAAGAGAATATATACCGGTAACTTGGCTTCTTTGAATAAAACCAGTCTGCAATTTGAGCAAGAAAGTTTTCATTGGCTAATATGATTTGGGTGATTAATTTTTTGGCCTGATCTTACAGAACAGAGTTAGATAGAATCATGCTCTCTGGAATCAAAAGACATGATAACTTTCTCAGATTTTGTGCAGAATAAATTAAAATATGCAAACTATAGTGGCTGTACCAATCCTGTTGTGGTAGATTTATCAAACTCTTTGATTGATTCAATGATTTATGGTAAAATCTGGGAGGGAAAGCTATAATAAAACATGTTATGTAGATTCTCAATTTTGAGTTTATCATAACTTGTTTGCAACTTTAAAACACCATTATATTTTATTTATTTATTTTAATTAGATTTATATGCCGCCCTATCTCCATAGGACTCAGGGCGGCTCACAACAATTAAGATATACAATCTCAATCCAAGTAAGAAACATGTTAAAATACATATTAAATGCATATTAAAATATATTAAAAATCAAAACCCCATCAGTCCAGGCTGGGCAATTTAAACAGCCATGTTTTTAGTTCACGGCGGAAAGTGTGAAGGTCAGGGGCCAACCAGAGCCCCCGGGGGAGTTGATTCCAAAGGGTGGGTGCGCCCACAGAGAAAGCTCTACCTCTGGGAGTTGCCAGCCGACATTGTCTAGCCGACGGCACCCTGAGTAGGCCCTCCCTGTGAGAACGCACTGGACAATGGGGAGCTGTTGCTGGTTGCAGATGGTCCGACAGATATCCTGGGCCTAAGCCATGTAGGGCTTTATAGGTCATCACCAGGGATAACAGGGATTGTAATGTTTCCATATGGCTAAAGTGAAATATGTTGTTGTTACTACACTTGATCTTAGCCAAAAGGCCAAGAAGCGACAATATGTTGTTGTTGTTAATCGGAAGTCGTGTCCAATCCATTGCAACCCCATGGACAATGTTCCTCCAGGCCTTCCTGTCCTCTACCATCCTCTGGAGTCCATTTAAGCTCACGCCAACTGCTTCAGTGACTCCATCCAGCCACCTCCTTCTCTGTTGTCCCTTTCTTCTTTTGCCTTCAATCATTCCCAGCATTAGGCTCTTATTTAGTGAGTCCCTCCTTCTCATTAGGTGGCCAAAGTATTTGAGTTTCATCTTCAAGATCTGGCCCTCTAATGAGCAGTCAGGGTTGATCTCTTCTAGGACTCACTGGTTTGATCGCCTTGCAGTCCAAGGGACTCGCAGGGGTCTTGTCCACCACCATAGTTCAAAGGCATCAATTCTTTGGCGCTCAGCTTTTCTTATGGTCCAGCTTTCACAGCCATACATTGCAACTGGGAAAACCATAGCTTTGACTATACGCACTTTTGTTGGGTGATGTCTCTGCTTTTTACTATGCTGTCTAGATTTGCCATAGCTTTCCTCCCCAGGAGCAAGCGTCTTTTAGTTTCTTGGCTGTAGTCCACATCTGCGGTGATCTTGGAGCCCAGGAAAATAAAATCTGTCACTACTTCCATTTCTTCCCATCTATTTGCCAGGAATTGAGAGGGCTGGATGCCATGATCTTAGTTTTCTTAATGTTGAGTTTCAAGCCAACTTTTGCACCTTCCTTCTTCACCCGCATCAAGAGACTCTCTAGTTCCTCTTCACTTTCTGCCATTAGAGTGGTATCATCTGCTTATCTGAGGGTGTTGATATTTCTTCCGGCAATCTTAATTCCAACTTGTCATTCATCTAGCCCCACCTTTCTCATGATGTGCTCTGCATATAAGTTAAATAGGCAGGGTGATAGTATACAGCCTTGCTGAACTACTTTCTCAATTTTGTACCAATCAGTGGTTCCATGTCTAGTTCTCACTGTTGCTTTTTGACCAGCATATACATAGGTTTCTCAAGAGACAAATAAGATGATTTTGTACTCCCATCTCTTTAAGAACTTTCCACAATTTGTTGTGATCCACACAATCAAAGGCTTTAGCATAGTCAATGAAGCAGAAGTAGATGTTTTTCTGGAACTCCCTAGCTTTCTCCATGCAATTTGATCTCTAGTTCCTCTGCCTCTTCGAAATCCTGCCTGTACTTCTGGTAGTTCTCGGTCCACATACTGCTGGAGCCTAGCTTGTAGGATTTTGATCATAACTTTGCTAGCATGTGAAATGAGTGCAGTGGTGTGGTAGCTTGAACATTCTTTGGCATTGCCTTTCTTTGAAATTGGAATGTAAACTGACCTTTTCCAATCTATGGCCACTGTTGAGTTTTCCAAATTTGCTGGCAAATTGAGTGTAGCACTTTTACTGCATCATCTTTTAAGGTTTTGAATAGCTGGAATACCATCACCTCCACTAGCTTTGTTGTTGCTCAGACTTCCTAAGGCCCATTTTACTTCACATTCCAGGATGTCTGGCTCAAGGAAAAAATAATCTGAGCATGCGCGAAGATGGCGGCTCGTAGGTGAAGCTCCGATGCCTCGGAGGAGAAATAGGGCTTACTGAGGACTCTCGGGGGGCCGAATATCAGCTGTTGGCCCCCGCCCAGCAAGAGGAATGTGTGGGCGGCCTGTCGCGAGCTTTTGAGCTCCCCTGGATGATCGGCGTGGGCGGCTGGAGCCGAAAAACGCCGCGAGGCTATGGCGGCGGTGAACGGGAGGCTGGAGCAAGGTCGGGGCGGCGCCGGGTTGCCTTGGCGTCCCCCCCAGTGGCGCCCCCCCCAGCAGCACCCTCCCAGCATTGGCCAGAGCGGGGAGGGGTGTGGGGAGACAGCGGCTCGTTGGAGCGTCTCCCCCCCCGGAAAAGCACCCCGATATGGTTCCCAGTTGTCAGCAGCGGCCGCGACGGTTGGAGCGGCGGCTGCGGCGGCTGGGGATGAAACGACGGCCGCTGGGGCGGTGCTAGATGGAACAGCGCTATCCTGGCTGTTTTCAGACCGACTTTAGACCTTTTTACCAGGGTCGGTTATTTACTGCGGAGGGAGGAAGGGAAGAATGCAGTCTAACTGGTTGCTGACTTCTGAAGACCCCTGAAGACCGGGGCTTAAAGGGGATTAGAAGACCCTATGGAGACTGGGGGTTTGGCAAAGTTGGGCGACTGGCCTGCCTCCCCCTGGCCTGTATCCATTTTCCCCTCCCCGCCGCGGCCTGGTTATGGGCGTGGGTGGGGCTGTGGCCATTTGATCTGGACCTTATCTGCACCGGCACTGGACTGCATTGGATTTATTGGACCCCTGACCTGACCTGACTATAATTGACCCCCGGTTTCCGGCTATATCATCAGTCCCAGTCACATTTACAATGCCTTGCTGTGAGGAGAGGCTTAAGCCTGGGTGTGGTCACCGAGGGAGTCACCTTGCTGTTATTGCCACTGAACTAGACCTGTCGATACCAGCCGCCGTAAGAGGGTGGCTTGGTCATTGTTTTCTCAGGACATCGGCTTGAGACTCCTCTCCACTGCCGTGAGAGGACAGTGGAGCCCCGGTTCTGATCCGCGCCAAAATGGTGAACTGTCTCTCCTGGACTTTTAAATGTACCATCATTGAATCCTTAGCCTGACTCTATTTCCCCAGGCGAACTTGCAGGAATGTATTCACCGGCTGAGCTCTTTGCCTTGCAAGACTCCCCCCTCTCGCAAGCCTGGCCTTCCATGTTATCGAAGGCCTACCTTGATGAAGGGCTTTGGAACCCAGAGAGGTTGCATGTCGCGAAGAGGGAGTTGAGGGGTTTTTTATATAAAGTTTTAGCAAATGTCTTAAGGGGTTCCGGGGGGGGGAGGGTTGGATCAGAAGTAAGGCCGTGGGTATGGGGGATAACCCACTAAGGGGAGGGCCAGGTAAGGCTGTGGAGCACGGCATGGGGGGTGGGGGGGCCCGGGGTCAAGAGGGGGGATAAAGTTCATCCAGATAAGGTTTTTACCATCAGTACTGTGGGTGGGAGGGGTAGATATGGCGGGAGCAGGGGGCCATATCGTGTTAGGGGAGCGCGCGCCCGCTGTCTTCGAGCGGTGGCGCGCTCCAGCCCCCAAAGCTCCACTCGT